GAACCGCTGTTGTTTGTCATGGAATAAGTAGATGATAAAAAATCTATTAAAACAGCAAGCTCATTTATAAATACTTCAGTTGTAGATAGGTATTTATCTGCTCTATTTGCTTCCATATCACTCTTGAATACCTTTAACTTCTTCATTAAGTTCTCTTTCTCAATATTTGGATACAATGAATCTATCAATGAAGCTAGTGAATTCATGGAATAAAAAAACAAAAAAATATAAATTTCAAATCTAGTAGATAAGTTAGACAAGATTCATCTCAGTAGTATTTAACTAAATATAAAGAAGTATAACTTGTAGATGTATTTATTAGAGTTCTATTAACTATCTATCTGGTAGATGCATTTGGTGGTATTTTAATAATAGGTTTCAAATTATAACATAAATATTACGAAAAACGATTTTTTGAAGTTTGAGATAATAGGCCAGTTTAATCATGGCTTTATATGCTGTATTCTTAGGAAAGAAGATGACCAATTTTTGATTCTAGTAGATCATAGGGCTTTAATCCTGGAATATTTCATTCATTATGTTTTCAGACAATATTTCTGCATCATTTTTTACATCATTAATATTACCAATAGGGTTGGTACACCAACCAATATCATAAACAGATGCATTTGGTGGTATTTTAATAATAGGTTTAAATGGAATAAATCCAATACTTGAAATTACTGTATCTGAAATTAAAAAAAGCATACTTTTATTAGAATTCCTTCGAAAAATTGTTGAATCAATGGGATATGTGGTATCATCACGTATGCCTTTCAAACATTTATCCTGCAACACAACCTTTGAATCACCTAACGCATTTGACTGTATTTCTACCTTATACTTCTTGGACTTCGAATCATAGGTTGTTGAAAAATCTGAATTAAAGAGGAGATACAACGAAGGCAATGAGTCTCTAGGATTCCTTTGTGATCTGTTGTTAAAAATTAACTTACTTCGATCTTTTAGTAGGTTATAAGAAAAAATAACTTTTGAATTCTTCCCTGTTGAACATACTATATTGAATAATATTGCTAATCCATTTTTACAAATATCTAAAAGCCTCTCAGGGTTGAAAATATTTAGAAATTTCTGCAAATGTGATGCTTTGTGCTTTGAAGGCTGTAGTACTACATCTTCTAGTGAATTCTGTGAAGTTAGCATTTTCCAACGTCTTTCTTTGGCTCTATCACTATTGGTCTGATTATATTGTGGGCCTAACATATGCTTAATATCAACAAAATTATCTCCTAATATGCTATTGAATCCATTATGTGGTAAATTGTGATAAGTTTTGTATTCTTTTAATATATCTGCAAGTTTGTGATTGTCAAACTTTGCAGCATTCCAGCTCGATCGAGACAAAACCACAACATTTTTGGCCGTTTTCTTTAAATAATTGAGTAAATCCATAGTTACATTTCCCATACCAAATATAAAGACTGTATCACCTAAACTTCTGAACAAACTGGTTTTTTTATAATAAGAATCAACAACATCAAGAGCATTCAAATAGTTTTGATTGAATGGCTTCGAATTATTGGAAGATACATTCTCGTTACTGTTATTTTCACAAGAAACTACATTTATAGAAGCATTTTCACTGAGTGAGTTTCTTCTATCAACAAGATACTTTCTGGGGATTCCACCAGTTGCAAAAATATATGTATCATACCCTTTTGGAAGAGAGGTTCTAATTTCAGAATTTAGATGAACAGTAATGTTTTGGTTCTGCAATATTCTGTTAAATGGACCAGGTTTAAAATCAGTGGAGTAATTATAGTGTCCCAAAATCCTGTTTGACTTCTCAAAAATGTCCACTTTCATTCGCTTAGCCAAAAATTTTGACAAAAATATTCCTGAAGGACCTGCTCCAATTATACAAGCCGATTTTGTAGGTATTGGATTATTCATTTGGGGCTAAATTTCAATATCTTCTCTCATTCAATGTTTTCATAAGTAAGATAGAACCAAGGATATCCAATAAGTAGCCATATACAAAGATTTGTTGAATTTCAATTAAAAAATGAATAATATGTGAAGATTAAATCTAATCTTGAGAAGTTTGGACTGCTGTAGGATGTTGCTTAATTAGACACAATCAATAGATAGTGGATGAAATATAAATAGTTTTTTTACATGTAGGATTTTAAAAAGTTATTCTAGACATAGTTGAATAGAAGAATTCATTTACAGGACAATAGTATACTATCATATTTTCTTTGGAACAAGTATATCATTTATTTACACAATCAAAATTAGAAATATATTCATATAAGCACAGTCCAGCAATGAGCATTAGTTCAACTAATAACATTAATGCTAGATACTTATATCTTTAGTTTTACTTTATTGCTCTTCAAAATTTGGAATTTACTATTTTAAAATTTATTCTGCACAGTTATATTTTATGAATGCTATCTCTATATCTGTAAGGATCTCTGAAAGTGATTCGGCCATTCGGTTATTATTTAATATAAATTTCATTTGTGACAACTTGAATAAAATCTCCTCAGTTTGTTGTTTTAGTTCATTCCAGGAAATTTTCAACAAAGCTTGAACTGCATTTTTATAAAAAGTAATTATAGTCTTAATCATTAATTGGGTCTTAACAAATGGACAATTTCTATCGTATTCAGAATAACCATTTTGCTGTAGAAAATCCTCCTTGATAATTTTTGACATATCTAAAATCATCTTCTCTGTTTCTGACAGATTATTTCTTCCAACTAATTGAACAATCTCCTCAATTTCCCTATCGAATTGTAAAATTTCTCGTACCATCTGTAAATTCGATTTGTATTCAGATTCATACTCTAGGGTATCCAGGTATTTTGAGTAGGATACAGTCGTATCAATCGATGGAAAGTGCTTTCGTTGAGCTAACTTCTTATCCAATCCCCAGAAGACCTGTACTATGCTTAATGTAGCAGATGTTACAGGATCACTAAAATCACCACCCGGTGGCGATACTGCTCCAACTATAGAAACAGATCCAAGTGATCCATTAAGTGTTTTAACTAGCCCTGCTCTTTCATAAAACAATGCTAATCTTGCACTTAAATATGCTGGATATCCACTATCTGCTGGCATTTCAGCAAGTCGGCCAGAAATCTCTCTTAAAGCTTCAGCCCATCTACTTGTGCTATCAGCCATCATGCTTACATTGAGTCCCTGATCACGAAAGTATTCGGAAATCGTAATTCCGGTATAAATACTTGCTTCTCTGGCAGCAACAGGCATATTGCTAGTGTTTGCAATTAGAACTGTTCTTTTCATAATATTATCCTCTGTATTTCCTATTTTCAACTTGGGAAAATCCATTAGAACCTCTGACATCTCATTCCCTCGCTCACCACATCCAACATAGACAATGACATCAGAGTTAGAATATTTACTCAAGCTTTGAGAGATTACAGTCTTTCCACATCCAAAAGCACCTGGAATAGCAGCAGTTCCACCTTGAACCATTGGAAAGAGTGAGTCCAGTATTCGTTGCCCAGTAAATAACTGTGTCTTTGCCTTAAGTTTTTCCTTTACTGGTCTGGGTGTTCTTACTGGCCAACTATGATACATTTTTATCTGTTCTATCTTACCATTATTGTCAACTTCTGCAATGACATCCTCGACAGTATAATCACCAGGACCTTCAATAAAGATTACTTTACCCTTAACTCTTGGAGATACTAGTATTTTAATTTCCATTAAAGAATTTTCTTGGACTACCCCTACAACATCTCCTCCATAAATGTTATCACCTATTTTTATTAGAGGTGTGAAGTAAAAAGATCTTTTTCTATCCAAACTCTGAATGTTAATGCCTTTGGGAATAAAGATCGAATTGGTTAGGTTTCTAATTGCAGCGAGTGGTCTTTGGATTCCATCATAAAGATTTTCAAATAACCCAGGTCCTAATTCTACACAAAGTGGAGCTCCCGTCCTTATTATGATATCATTAATTTCTAGCCCACACGTGTCTTCATAGACCTGAATAGTGGCCGTATCACCTTCTATCTTTATAACCTCACCCATCAAGCCATTGTGACCAACACTTACCAATTCATACATAGAAACACCAGCCATATTTCTTCCAACAACTACAGGTCCACTTATTGAATGAATTTTCCCCTCTTCAGATTCCTTACTATCAAGTTGTAAGTTTTTCAACAATTCATTTACTACTGAAATCGCCATTTGGGTGTGTTTTCATCAAAACTAATTTATAGTTGTGTTTCAGGAATTGAAAAACAAACAATCAACAAAGTCACTCAATTATATATCTTTTATAGATTCTAGATTTATATCCAATATAATATTTTAATATACTACCTTCGCCTCAAATCTTTTTATTTTACTCCTAACACAATTAACTATATCTGTCAGAATCAATAATCCAATTCATACTTTCTTTAACACCCATAAATTCTTGGTTGTTTGGCTACAATACCAATTTATCCAATTCAATAGCTACTAAAATTAGGTTTTACTTTCATAATATTGCATATATTGTTAGTAGATATTTGACTCCATTTATTAATTCATAAGAATTTCAAACTCCCTCCAAAAAAATCTTCCCTCCAAAATGGTTTAGGAGTTGATTGAATATCTTTACCATGATTCAAAAATTATCTTTAGAAGATTCAAACTACTTAAAGTCCCAACAATATATCCACAACTCTTTTATAATCGTTAAGGAACTTGTAGAAAATGCAATAGATGCAAAATGTAGCTTGATAAAAATTAAAATAGCTGATGATTTTATACTGGTTGAAGATGATGGACATGGAATCGATCTGAGGAACCAATCTAACTTGGACTTGCTTGGTGAGCATGGATGTACATCTAAAGAGAACAGTGCTTACAATATTCTAATGCTTAATAAACAATCCACATTTACTTTTGGCTATAGGGGAAGAGCACTTGCATCAATAAGAGAAATGTGTGATTTAGAAGTACTATCTTCAATAGATAATTTGGGTGTTGGAATTTGTAAGCTTTTTTCTTCAGGGGCACTAACTTCTGTGGCAAAGAATAAAGGAACTACTGTCAAAGTATCGAATTTATTCTATAATTGTCCAATACGAAAAAAAATTAATATTACAAAGCGAAACAAATACCTTGTTGATACATTGAAATACTTAAATTCTGTTTTATATGTTTATAATATAGAGATTATTCTAAAAACAGACTTTGGAAAAAAACAGGAGGAGTATATACTGTTGGGAAATTCAAATTTGGCAAGTCTTCAATCTTTAAACGACAATAGTAATAGTAACACTTGGAAATCATTTTATCAGGGAGTTAAGACATATGCTATTAATATTCATGGATTGCATTATCTTGAAATTAATCACTACTTATTTGATTTTGTGTTGTTTCCAGAATGTATCCAGGGTGTACAGAATATATTTGTCGATAGAAGATCAGTAACATGCAGTTTAAAATCATTTATCACCAAGATATTCAAAAAATTTTATAAATACTCACCTACATTTGTCTTATTGATCAAAGATGATGCAGATATCAATGTTTCAAATGATAAAATGTCTGCAATTATTAAAAATACAAAAATTATAGAGAAGAAACTGTGTGAGAGAATTGAAATATATCTCAACGATAATAGAATTGTAGATTATACTCCATTAGATAACAAAAGGATAGGCCCTTATAATGAAGTGTGGCCAGGCACTGAACTGTGTAGAGAAACTCCAGAGATCAGTAAAGTACAGATGAATTCATCTTTAGAAAGCCCTTGCAAAAAATTAAACAGTATAAAAGTTATAAGTCCGATTTTTGAGTTAAGTTCTCCTACCAAAAGTGGCTATCAACCAGATGAAAAAGACAATGTTCTAAATTCATCTTTTGTGTCTAAAGATTCATCAAAGGATACTATTCTTGAAGAGGAAGCATCAATAGTTGAAAGTGGTCATGGAATTGATGAATGTGGGACGATAAATACTTTTGAAACTAAATATGAAAGGTATCTTGATTTTAAAGCCAAAGATCAACTGTTTTCGCCTAAGCAATGTTGTAACGGAATCGAAACATATCAAGAGATTGAATCAGCAAAGACTCTCTACCAGAATAAAAATTCAACCGTAACACTCAATCTGAACTCTACAGAAATTGATATTGTTGTTGAAAAGGTTAAGCAGATTCCAAATCAAACAAATTATAACATAAATATTACGAAAAACGATTTTTTGAAGTTTGAGATAATAGGCCAGTTTAATCATGGCTTTATATGCTGTATTCTTAGGAAAGAAGATGACCAATTTTTGATTCTAGTAGATCAGCATGCTGCAGATGAGATTTACAATTTTGAAAAACTGAAAAGAACCTTTATTTTACAAAAACAGCTGCTCATTGTACCCCAAGATATTCATATAACTAAAGTTGAGGAGTTACTAGTTGATAGATTCAAAAGTACTTTTGAAAAAAATGGCTTTGTTATTGAAAAGGTGGTGGATTCTTCGGATAAATTAGCCCTGGATTGCTCAAGGATGACTACATCTGAATCATTAAAAGAACCCCCACTTAAATACAAACTAACAACAGTCCCCTTTTATAAAAATATCTTGTTCAATATTGAGGATTTCCAAAACCTACTTGATAATATAAGTCTTGATACTAATTTCGACTATGGCCATACATGCGATAAATTCCGGGATATTATGGCTTCAAAAGCATGTAGAACAAGTGTTATGATAGGAAATGCCCTTAAATACAATAAAATGAGGGAAATCGTTGATAATCTTTCATGCTTAAGTGTGCCATGGGAATGCCCACATGGAAGACCAACATTTACAATTGTGTCTAAATTATAGTGTAGTATTGATATCAAAATCTTACTAACCTTGGTCGTTTTAATTCTTGAGGAATGGGCTCTGTTCGTCGTTATGGCAAATAAATAAAGACACTCTATAATTATAACAACTAAAATAATATTATTTATTAAAAATTCTAAGCAAAACTCGAGGATATTCCCAAAACTTTATCCAATTATGCTATATTAACTATTTGTTTTGTATATTTATTTATTGATTGCCGATAACTGTTTTCAATGAATCAAGGGTAAACAATTTTGGAACTTCTCCAATAGATGAATGAAGATTGTTCATTCTCTCCAAATCTTCAGCGTTGGATATCAAATCGATTACAAAGCCTGTTCTGTTGAATCTACCAGATCTACCAATTCTATGAATATAAGTTTCTGTTGCATTTTCAAAATGATCACTAGGTAGATCAAAATTTATAATAAGATTGACCTGAGGAATATCAATTCCCCTAGAAAATACATCGGTTGAAACCAATACTTTTGTCAGTGCACTGGAAAAATTCTCAAATATAGTATCCCTTCTTTCTATTGGAATGTCTCCGTGAATAACAGATACTTTGAATCCGTCATTTTCCAAACTAGACCCAATAACCTCTGCCATCTTCTTAGAATTTACAAATATTATAGATTGGGCAACAGTAATCAATTCAAATAAAGATATGATTGTTTCGATCTTCTTTTTTCTTTCTACCTCCATGAAGTACAGTTTTATGTTATTGGCCTTTTTATTCTCCGTAAAAAAATATTCTCCTTCATTAGCAATCTTATGAACTGCATTTTGGCTTATCTCTGAATACGTAGCTGAGAAGAATATCTTTTGAACGTCTTTTAATATACTTAGCAATTTGAGTGTTTGAGCACCAAATGCTCTACTTGCAATCATATGATCTGCTTCGTCCAAAATTATCATATTAATATTTTCGATTCTAATCACCTTATTATTGATAAGGGTTAAGATCTTACCCGGGCATCCAATTATAATTTCCTCACTTATTGTTTCCGCTGAGAATTCACGTACGGCCATTGAGACTTTAACATTTATCTGAGTTGCAAGAGACAAAACCACATTTCCCACTTGTGCATTTAGTTCTCTTGTTGGGGTAATAATAATGGCTTGTGTTCCTTTTCCTGGAATAACCTTTGAAAGAATTCCTGTAGTGAATCCTAGAGTTTTGCCTGTGCCAGACTTACTATGAAATGCACAATTTTTGCCACTTAAAATTACAGGTATTGATTCTTGCTGAATTAGTGATGGCTTGTTTACTCCCATCTTATAAAGTGCCAATACTAACTCTGGCTTTATTCCCATTTCTTCAAATGTATTTGCAGAAATTAACTCTGCACTAAGCCTATTGTTTTCTTCGTTGTCACCTGTTTGCATTCTCGTAGTGTCATTGTCTAAGGATTCATAGAATTCTTGTGCAACTTGAATTACAGTTTGAGTAGTATTTTCCATAAAATTGGGGCAAAATATATCCACATAAAAATAAGCAGTCTGACTTACAATGGAAGAAACTATTTAAAAATACTGTTATGAAGAAGTTAACTGATTTATTTGGACTCAAATTTGGATACGCTTTGCTCTAGCTTGGATAGTAGAACAGGCTCTGATACTTTTCTGGAAATATCCAGTATACTTAAAGCATATTGGATATTTTTTTCTGCTGCTATACGGCTTAGCATCTCGATGCATTCTAAATCAGTGGTAATATTATTCGACTCAATAAAACTGGTTAAGATATCTACACAATCTCTCTCTGATGGCTTATTTACCGGGATTGTGAAGAGTTTTATCGATGGTAGGAAAGTATTGGAATGTAAAATTATTGAATTAGAATCTATAAATTTTAGATGTGATTTTGAATATTCAAAAATTGTATAGATTTGATTCTCATCCAAAAGGCATCCATTCTCCATAACTATGGGTATTTTCTTGATGGTTACCTTTTTTTCCTTAATCCAACGAATAAGTTTGTTGTTGACTTCGTTCTGAATATCATCATCAACATATAGATTTGACATGATGTAATTCACACCGTCTTCCTTAAAATTGATGATATCTATTTCATCAAGAGTCAAGTTTGTTGTGGTTGATTCTATTTTTATACATTCACCATTCGGAATCTGCACCAAGTCCATAGAATTAATATTACTATTATCAATACCCAATGCCCTTCCGATTCTTTTTACAAACCCATATTCCTTATAAATCTTTACAACATCCCCAATAGATACTCTCTCCTTG